GGACGGGGTGGTGGTTGCCCCCCCCCAGCCACAGCCTTGCCTCTCGCCAGTGCAGGCAGCAGAGGCACACACACACAAGGCCTCAGCAGCAGAAGAGACAATCCTACAGCCACTAAAACATTCTCACGTAGAAAGACCTTAGTAGGTCTGAGGAAATATAAGCAAGGAAGAAACAAAGCAAAGAAAAATACATTCCACAGACCGCAATCTACAAATCCAGCCAACTGCCCTTTTAAAGATTCATCAGTTGTACTCAAACAGAGCACATGCAGACAGCATACATGTGTTCTTCCACGTGTAACACCTCCCAAAACTCACAAATGAAACTGTTCTTTCATCATTGTGTACCTACCCTCTGCACCATTCAATGGAGAGACAACAATCAACTAGCTAGAAGTTCTAACATTATGCAGCTCTTGCCGTAAGCTTTGCATAATAAAGATTAAGTGAACAGATCACAAAGGCCCACATATTTGTTATAGAATCATAGAATCATAGAATCGTTAGGGTGGGAAAGGACCTTAAGATCATCTAGTTCCAACCCCCCTGCCATGAGCAGGGACACCACACACTAAACTGTGTCGCCCAAGGCTCTGTCCAACCTGGCCTTAAATGCCTCCAGGGTTGGAGCATTCACAACTTCCTTGGGCAACCCATTCCAGTGCCTCACCACCCTCACTGTGAAGAACTTCTTCCTTATATCTAATCTAAACTTCCCCTGTTTAAGTTTAAAGCCATTACCCCTTGTCCTACCACTACAGTCCCTAATGAAGAGTCCCTCCCCAGCATCCTTGTAGGCCCCCTTCAGATACTGGAAGGCTGCTATGAGGTCTCCACGCAGCCTTCTCTTCTCCAGGCTGAACAGCCCCAACTTTCTCAGCCTGTCTTCATACGGGAGGTGCTCCAGTCCTCTTACCATCCTCGTGGCCCTCCTCTGGAAGCTGAAGAGGGCTCAGTACAACCCTCCCTATCCTTCCAAGCTAATTTTCAACTGAATAAAGATGTAACATACGTGCAGACAGACTTTCTCACTGCTTTACTGCTAGCCACAACTCCTCTATCAAAGTGCTCTTTATGAAACACAGGCAGGAACCATAAGGTTTTCTCCTTCAAATGTGAAAATGAAGCTGAGTGATTTCAGAAAGCTGCTGCACAAGCCCATTTTAGCTGACATAAGCACGCCTCTGAAAGTCAGTGTCACTTCTCGTGTGCTTGTTAAGCAGCTAGGCAAAATAAGACCTGTGCAATATATGACTTTATAAAAGCTTTTAAAAACTGCCAGCAGCACACTTCATACCCAACTGGCTTCTATTACATTGCTGCTGCTGCTCCTGAGAGCCTGAGCATACTCACACCAGAAATACAGGGGTGCCATCAGCTACTAATTTCACCACTTTAACTTCGATTACTTCAGTACTGCTTATACTGACTGCTGCTTTAGAACTCCTGAACTCTTTGTGGGGATTGGTCTGGTAGAAGCCTCAGCTTACAGCAAACAAAACAAACACCAGAGCTTGCACTAGCTCTTCGGCTCTGACAAACCATGGGCTGAAAAAAGTCATGCTACGCCAATGGCTTTATGACCCAGCAGAGCACACTGATACTTCAAGGTTTCACTAAATTCGTCACACCAATTAACACCAACTAGGGATTCAGACCTTTTGTGTCAAAATCACTTTTTCCTTGCCAAATACAATAGCTATTCCTCTGAACTCTGTCCCTCAGAGATCATTCACTTTTCTGAACCATCTAATAATGCACTGCCTGCAATATTTTTGTGGGGATTGGTCCTTCCCATGTTACTTTGTTATCCAAAAAACACACCCTCTTTGTGTTCGGTCCTGAGAGAACTGAGCAGTAAGAAGCTGACTTCAGCAGAAGAGTACCCCCACCACCACCTTCCAGAACCAGGACCCTGTTCTTTAGATGATTCCAGGAACAGCTTTCCAATGGTTCCCATGTTCTTTCCATCACATTTCTCAAAACGACTGACAGGCACATATTAGAAGGAGCTTAACTGATTAAGCCCCTGTGAATGTATCGTCACAGCTTTCCTGCAGAAAAATACCTAGCTTTAAGTTAGTGGACCTAAGTCTTTGTAGCAGTGTACACTTCACACTTGGACAAAACTTGTATCTCTTTTTACCTTGCTAATTACAACCTGCTGTAACTTGGAGGCTTTTTTCCTCTACATTTTTAGAGTGGAACACAGACAGCATGATCTCAGAAAAAAGGACCAGAAAGCCATTTGCAGTTCCTATCTGCAAATCTCTTCATTTTTCTACACAGAGCACAAAGATCATGGGTATGGATGAAAAGAGAATGACACGGTTCAGGAACTGCAACACAAAGCCTGAAAAAAAAGACATCCATATCTGTGCAGCTACAAATGTCAAACGTGTAAAAGAGGCTGTCTCATACTGATGACTGATTTTCTTCCATCTAGCACTATCCATTTTTCTCTTCCCACACTATCTTGAAAAGGACACTGAACTATCAGTTTATAATGAATTGTAAGATTCCTCGTGTCTGCAAGGAACATCTCAGATAACAGTCCAGACAAATTAGATGTGCAATCCATAGTAGCAGCCACAGAACAAAACTGACAAAGCTATGTATATGATGCCAGCTTTCTTACATTCGTTGCAAAAGTGAGAAAAGAAGAGACTAAGCCAAAACCAAAGCATTAAAACATGATAAATTTAAGCTTAAGGGATTTTTTACTGTATTACTTTGGAAATATCTGTTTAATCCATTTCCTGATCCTTTTCTGTCCGGGTCATTACATTATTAGGCATCAGTCAGCTGACAGTAAACACTTAAGACCAAACCTCAGCTCACAGCATCCTGTAACTACACAACAACACATACATTTTAAAAACATGGAGTGTGCATTGCAGAATCTAGGAGCCCAACTGTTTAATCTTCCAGGCTTTTGCCAGTCTTACATTGCAATCAATCAGAAATTACCCAAGAAGAACTAACATTTGTGTAATTACTCCGTTGCTTGATTATGACACCACGTAGCAGATAGGAATAACTTTGCCAACTTAACTTTTCCCAGCTGAGTAATCAGGGTAGTTACTATCTGCTTTTCTGTGAAATAACCCAGCATATTCACTTTTCCACCCTATAATGCACTTAAAGGCAAAAAAGCCGTAGCTGAATGAAACAACCATTTCACCAGTTAACCTATTTTTTTCAATGAATGGATTTTATCATGTGAAAGTGTATAACCTCAAAACACACCATTTATCTTTGAATAAGTTGTAATCAATTCCAGTTATATTTTTTAGTTCAAGATGATGTAGTAAAAACCTGTCCCGTCTGAAGTAAACAGCTTTTTCAATGATTCCCACCTCTTAACCACAATTTGTCTTCTCTCTTCCTTTCTCAAATAGCTATTATCTGTTGTCTCCTAGAATAGCTTCATATTAAAAACTGCACTGCTTCAAATCCCACATTCTATAGTTTTTTGGAACTATGGGTTTTTTTAGAGAACACTGAGATGGTATCACTCTCTGAGAGGCCTTGTCTGTTTTAGGCATTTGTTTCAGTTCATTGTAAAATTAAACTGCACCAAATTTTCTGGAGAAGGAAAGTACCTGGAGAAAATCCATTTCACATTTCTGTGCTTTATCTCTGTTTTACTGAACACGTAAAATTGGTTTTAGTGGCTCAATAAAGTCCGAGAGAAAAAGGCTTCATCTTTATTTAGATTTTGTATGATCTGGAGCAAGATGGGAGCAATAGCAAGCCATAGTAAAATATTAAAAATAATGTTTCAAAATTAAAGGAATGGAACAGTAACAAAGTATTGGTTCTGAATACGATTTTAGCATTGCATGTTAACAATGAACTGAACAATTCTTTTCTCCCCATCAGAAAGATTAATCTAAATACAGCAAACTTACATAGACATCGAGGACTTCATTCGTTGGACCATCTGCTAAAAACGACTCTCCTGCAGTGCTGGAGATTTCATTTGGGCGTTTATAAATGAACATTGTCCCACCACCTTCATATCTCCCAGGTCGATCGATTGCCCAGTTTCCATTGATGATGGACCGTCCTGATCGACTCCGCAGTGCTGCAGAGGATGGGGACAGAAACACAAGGACTTTGATCAGAGGAAATCACCTTCACCTACTGCTGCCTAATCAGATCCCCAAAGGTGCACTGTTAGTGTTCTCTGATGCCTGGGGGCAACGCTGTTTGGCTGTTGAAAAGAACAGAGTTATATTAGTAGTTGTGCAGAGGAAAAAAACCCAAAACAAACAAATGAACCTTAGAAAACATTGTCCTACCACTTGGTATGTTTATGCTGCAAGAAAAGAGAGAAAAATCAAAGATGGCTGGGAAAGCTTTTTCAGCGGTTTCTCATAGGCTACCATCTGACTCTCAGCCAGCCAGCAGCATACACTGAACACACATAGATGCTGAGGAACTTGTTTTCACCCACTTCCTTTCCATTCCTATTTTGTGATTTAAATGGAACAAAACACAGAGACAGACACAGAAAATCAGAACCCTGTACAATGCAGAAGCACCAAACAATTTTGGGACACATGAGTATCCTGGATTGCCAGAGACTCCAGTTATTCTTCATGAAGCCCTATGGCTACTCCCTCCATTTCCTTTTCAGCACACAGTTTTTTTGCCATACCATCTGCAGAGCCTTGAGCCTGGTCTGCAGCAGGCTTTGGAATGATGAGCTCTCCGAAAATGCCAGTAAGATCTCTTGCATAAGAAAAAGTGACTTTGCAAATCAGAAGGGATCAGCCAGGGAAAGATAAAATATGGATTCAATATTCAGTTGTGCAGTGCATTCCCTTTGTCATCATGGACAAGTCACTGACTTCTAGGTGCCTCTGTTCCTTCTTGTTCCTACTTCCTTTATCTAGTGACTATAATTTTAACCCTTAAGGTCAGAAACTCCTGCCACATACATGTACATAATTTTATGCAATATTACAGGTAGGTGTTTTAAAACCTACTAATAATTTGAGGTAGAAACCTCATCAGACATTGCTTAAGTACTCAGAAAAGACATGACCTTCTCTCTAAACGCTGAAGTCAAAGGTTTTCAATTTTATACAAAAGAATTTGCTTTTAAATACAATTAAACCAAACAAAATCTAATAATACTCTTGGCTGTATATTGCTTGGCAATTGAATTTTTAATGCAAATTCAAGGTACAAGTTTTGAACTTATAAAAACTTAGGGTCGAGGAGTCAGTTATTCCAGAGACCGTTTCTTCTGTCCCATTAACTGCGATACTTGGTTAAAATGCTCTCAGCGTTGTACACAACTATTTATGCTGCTGGGAAAAACTTAAAAAGCCTACATGCATGGCCAAAATGATGGGAAATTAAACTTATGCCATTGATTCCAAACACATTAGTGATTTTAAGTGCAGTACTATTGCCACATTTCAGAAACTGTGTCAGTTGCTTCATTACTCTTCAAGTCCCCCTTGTTGAAAGAAAACTTTCTGTATTGAGAAAATTCTGTAGTTACAGGTAAAGATGCAGACAAATATAGACCTATGGATGAAAAACCGATTATTCCAATTCAAAAGAAAAATTAAGGGAAAGTAATGAAAAAAAGGTCTGCAAATTCAGAAAGAATACTTTTTACACGATGTGTGTCTATAGGCCTGCCAGCTTCAATCCAGTAAGAAGCTGCTGAAGGGAGCACTTTAATAAGATTCAAGAGGGACTGGACTGCTTTTGGGATTGTTTTGTTTGTTTTTAATTAATAAAAGTAAATAGCTGCAAGGGAACATCCTGATACTGAAGGTTTGTATTTCTATGTATATTAAGACTTGTAACTTGAGCAGATTATTTTGTATTTGCCAACTGCATATTCTTACACTATCTTATGAAACACCTTACTGTTGGTCACTGTAAAATACAGGGAACTGGACAGACAGCAGTGGTTGCTGCTGACTAACAAACTATTTTTAATTTACTTAATATTGATAGAATTGTTTATAGAAAACAACTTCATTGGGGTTTTTGGTAAGTTTTGTAGATAGTACTCAGATACCATCACGCACTTACGTCTCTTGAAAGTCCTTACCATTGTTGTTCATTCAAGAAAAAACAACGGTTCATTAGACAAAGTGGGTAACTTTATCAATCTTCAAGCATCAGACAACTAGAATATTCTGTTATGATTGTGATTTCAAGTCAGCTTGCATTAGTTTGCCTAATATGCGGACACAGAGGTATGCTATATTCTCTAACTACTGCTAATAGATTTGAATTGCAGTTGCATGGGCTTTATTAATCATTCCTGCACTAAACAGATACAGTCGCAACTTGAGAGAAGCTAAGGACTCAGCAACCTACTTTTTCAAAGTGAGGTAACAAATGATTCTCATAAGAACACATGTTCGATCTGTAAATTTAAAATACAAATTAGTTTAGTCTTTTTTATTAGTATCCCCAATTGTGCATGAAAATATTTTAATAGGATCATTAAAAGAAAACAAGGTAGTAACTGAACAGAACAGGTATTAAAACTAGATAAATTAATATAAAAGACTTTATAGTATTGCATTCCCTTCTTTCTTCACTGTAAAGAGTTTTGGGTTTTTTTAACCATTCTGTATAAAATGTAAGATGTAGGAAGGTTATGCATTAAGGCAGTTGGCTACCACCAGTTCTGACTGTATGAGGTAAGCCCATATTTTTGACAGTCTTTACTTCCAAGGAAATACAGAGGGCTGTCCCTGGACCACTGCCCCTGTAAAGGGCCTTGATGGGTGAAATTTCAGGCTTTTCCTTCTCCCTGCTTCATCCTTGCAAACTACTCAGTGGACTTCAGTGGCTAGACACAGCTGCACCCTCATAAACTCAGAAGGCATGAGTCGTGGTGGACAACTTCCCACCTTTCTGGACTTGAGAAGGAACTCAGCGTTTGTATCGCTACTCCCAACAAAGCACCAGAACAGCTGGCATATTCAAGAACCTGATACATTTGGCTTGCAAGCGAAACAGAACATTCAAGTGATGATGGCTCTGGATCAGATCCTGTAAAAATGTTTTCACACATTTTGAAATTTTATTTTCCTTAATGCTCCACATTTATTTTTCCCAACAGCTATTGTACACCCGCTTGTTTCCCAGCTCTCGTTTTCTGACACATTAACTAAACAGTCTCTATACTGTAAACATTAGTCGAAAAATACTTTATACAAATCAGCCATCAAAATGGTATTATTACTAATATAGGGCTGGGAGGGAAAAATACAGCTCACATACTATTGCACACATGAAATAAAAAACTCTTCACACTATTAACATGCTTTTTACACTCATTAAGTTTTAATTCAAACAACTTGAAGTAAACACTTCTGCAAAACTTGTTGGAGACTAGTTTTACATTGGTTTTCAATATGGAACACTGCCTTAACTTTACGATCCAAGTATATTTTCTTATATTGCTCATTAAGCCAATTATCAAGAGCTTAGGAAAAAAGAGAGCAAGCTGGCTAAGATTAAACTGTTGTTAATAATGAAGCTGTGGAAAGATGGCTATCTGAGAAACTGAGAGTCCATTAGACTTTCATTTCAAATCCATCATACGACAAGTCTGAAAGAGGCCTCCCCATAAAAAGGGAAAATGTGCCTCTTTCATGCTTTGATCGCTCTGCAGCTACCACCTCAACTCTGCCCCCTGAAGAACTTTTATAGTGTTAATATTTTTAGTCAAAGCATGAAAGATTATGAACAGCTTTACCGTTAATTCCTCATGAGGAATTCCTCATACAGTTTGTAGCTGATTTCACCTATCTTTCATTCTGGTATCAGCTTCTTAATTAAAACTGTGCTGTTTGCAGTGGCCCTCAGTAATGTTTTGCACTAGAGGTATGGAATACTTCAGGATACAAACTCTGATTGGTATTTCTGCTTAAGCTACAATTCTACAGCAAAATCTCAATAGACCATACATCAAGATTTGTATTTCAAGTATCTGGAGTATTAATTTTCTCAGTTTGCTTACAGCTCTCCTTTCAAAGATGTTCTGCAGCTCCTGTCTTCCACCCCTTCAACTCAGAAAAAATCAGCCAAGATAATTCAAATAAAGGTAGTAAACTCTCAGTGCTTCAGAACTATAAAACTTTCTCCAAAAGTACTTGAAGACAACTTCAGATACTTAAAAACCCAACACACAGCAACCACTATTCAGTAATACAAAACATAGCTTGCCTTCATGCCTTGCAGTCTAGAATACACAATACACATTAAATCAATGAAGAAATGAAGACCTTATAGACCACAATCTTGAGATACTGTAAGTAATAGCATTCAGCTACTAGGCACTTGAAAGTACCTCTGATGCCCAGAGAGAAAAAAAGCCAAATGCCTAGAGACTCAGTAATCTACAGTTTTAAATAATGAAGTATGTATTAGTTCAAATAGATTCTCTGAAATAACTCCTTTCCAAAAGCAGAGATATTTGCTTATTATTAGAACACACCTTAGTTACAAAATATTTAGGAGAAATTTGGCACACTTCTCGAGAACTGAATTATGTATTATTTCCCTCTGACCTTTTGAATTCAAACTCCTATTGAGGTTGGGGCAAAGCTCCCCCAGGACTCTGAGCTTAATTCAAGAAATATTAGTAGGGCTAAGATCCTTGTAATCACCAAGAATCAAATGATCTTTAACAGTCTGATCCTGCAAACCTCTTAGTCTAGAGCCAGCTGAGGACATTAGAAAATGGTCAGCAGTTCACTGACTGAGCCCTAAATTAGCATCAGATTGTATACGCTAAACAAGAAGAAAATATCTCTGCAGGTGGGATACCTTCATCTCTTGCACTCTATTTGGTTTCTTCACTGGCAACCAAGACAGGGTAAGGGTACAGATGTTGTATGACAAAAATGGGGCATCTTCTAACTGCACATAGCTGAGACAAAGTTGCTGAACTTTCAACCATTTTGGAAGTTCTAAGCCACTATTGGTCACTTTAACAGTGTCAGAAAGAAGCGGACCAGAGCAGGATGCTCCACTGGGAACTACTCTATGACCTTACATAATTCCAATGCAGAAAAACACTTTCTAATACCAACT